CCACCACCTCCCACCCCCCACCCGCGCCTCTAAGCCGAGCGGACGGCAAGGAAAACAGACGCAACCGCGGACCTCTGATGGACGAGGCTCCCCGCCAACACTCTGCCCGCTGCTGGGGGCTGCCGGCGGGCTCGGCGCGCCGCAGGGGCGGGGCGGCAGGCGGCCACCCTCAGTCAATCGGACGTATTTGGCCGCCCCGCGCCTCGAGCGATGAGCGGGAAGGAGGAGCACGCCGCGCGCGCGGCCACGCTGCGTGTTTTGCTTGCCCCCCCCCCCCCCCCTCCTCCTCCTCACCTTCCCGATGCCCGCGCCGTCCGTCGGCGCAGACCCCGCACGGCATGCCCAAACGACTCCCACATGCACAAAACGACTTTATGAAAATGTGACCGGCCGTCCGGGCTGTACGTGAATGTGAATGTGAATATGAAGTTTAGGGCGGCGCGGGCGGGCGGGGCGTGGGGAGGCAGGGGGAAGTCCCTGCGACCTTGGGCGCCGGGCGGGTGGACCCGGCCGACACTGCTAAAGGAAGGCTGCACTTGAGGGAAACGTTTCCTGCCGGGCACCAGACGTTTGCGTTTAATGCGTCCTACTTTGTCCCCGGCACAAAAAAAAAAGTTGGTTCCCGCCATTAAAATTATTTCCTGCGGTAACGATATTTTGAAGCTCGGAAACAAAACTTTGGTGTCCCGGACACAACGTTTGGTGCGTCAAAAACTTTCGGTCTCATCGGGACAAAATGTTTAGTGTTCAGGACCAAAACTTTTTTTCAGTGTGCGGAGAAACAGATATTCCAGCAGCTTTTCTGTTTTATTTCATGCTCTTTTTATGTTTATTGCGTTTATGGGTTCTTTGGTTCAAGGAAAATTCCAACTAAATTGTAGATGATGAAACTTTTGCCTGTAGTTCGAGGAAGACTTCCTCAAAAAAATATAATGAGTTCTTCCCGCTAGTGAACGAAAATTCTATTTCATTGCATTCAAGTAATATCCTCAAATTTCCTCTAGAATCAAAGAAAACACATTTCCAGGGTGAATAATTTTGCGAAAGCTGCGACTATATGGCCCACGACTTAACCTGCTGCTTTGTTTTTTTGATGCCCGGCGCGCGGGACTATGCCAAAAGACCTCACGTCCTGGAGGACGTCTTCTACTACCGGGGGCGCGGTGCGGGCGCGTTCCCCCTCCCCCTTCTCTATGTACCTCAATCACAGACGATACGAAAGGTATATAGTCGCCGAGCTGCTTATAAAGACGTGTTGATCACCATAGAAGAAACGGGTCGCTGATCGCGCACCGTTCGCTAACCGCCCGCCATTTGTCTGACGATGAATGTATGATCCATCATGAGCTCGCCGATGATCGCCTGTCGGTGTTCACACCTCTCCTCCTCCTCCTCCTCGCCCGGGCTGTGCTGCCTATCGCTTAGCGCGTTGTTAGTGCTTATTGAAGCAGCCACGGACTGGGAGTCTTGGGGCCCAGTCTGGAAACTGCTCCGAGGGGCCCCAAAAGATACCTTTTTTGCCGTCAAGGGGGCCCCAAAAGATACCTTTTTGCCGTCAAGGGGCCCCAAAAGATACCTTTTTGCCTTCAAGGGCCCCAAAAGATAATAACCTTTTTCGCCTGGGGCCCGGTCGGGATTTCCCACCTAGCCAACCCGGGCCAGTCCGTGGCTGTATTGAAGGTCCTCCCCAATCGCTTTGCCATGACTGCGCAACGCGTTTTTCTATGCCGATGGTGTTTGGATTATTATTATATTTCTTTTTTCGTTCCTTAAAGAACAAAGACAAAGTCCATTGATTCGTCGGAAAAGCAAAAATAAAAAATAAAAATGTATTGATGTATTTATGAGATGAGTCAAGTCGATCGAAACGCAGCGCAGGGCACACCGCTACCGCTTGCCGTCGCTACGGTCCAGTGGGGGGAGTAACTTACCTAAATGACTAAAACGAAATGCACAATCAGCAGCAGTTCCCGCTCTATTTTAATTCCCAGCGACAATCTGAGGCCAGAAAGAGCGCGCCACACGTCGAGTTAATTTTCTTTTCCACCCGAAAAAAAATTGGGGTTACTTTTTTTTAAATTTCCTTTTCGCTCCGCCAATTGCAACAAATCGGGAGCTAATTGATCGAATTTGCATCTGTTGCGGCCTTCCCCTCAAAAGCTCGGAGCTCATCGGGGGGCCGCGCTCACGGTCCTCGCCGCAAGCGGGGGCGCCGGAAACGTCTGACTCAGATGAACGCGCCGCACACTTCCGCCTCGGTGGGCCCGTCCCCGTCCAGCTCTGTAATCGGAATGGCCAAATGGCGCGATGCCTGCTCCTCCCCCCCCCCAATTCTTCCAATTATTACTATGGTCATCCCCCGACACACTCGACGCACAGGAGCAGTGTGCGGCCCGCACCTCGACGGGTATGCATCTCCAGCAGGGAAGCTCGAAAATTAATTTTCTTTTCACGCGAGAGAAAATAAGGTATTACGCGATTATTATTATCATTATGATTAGCACCGCCCGGCACCGCCCGTGCTATTCAGAAAATTTACAAAGGCACTAAAAAGATTCGAACCCCACGGTAAAATGAACATCTTGGAATTCAAGTAGATTCTTTGAAAGCTGTCTTGAAATCCAAGTGGATCGCTTGAAATCCAAGATGTTATTTTTAACGTGCCCTGGCAAGGCATGAAAATGCCCCTGCAAAAAGTGCTAAATTTTATTGCCTTTCTAGGCATTACAAATACTTTTATAAAGGCACTTGGTCCTACCCTCGTTTTTCCAGTGTATGCACAACTATCAAAGCATTTGTTTTCAACCCCTCAGTTGAACACACACACACACGAACATCAAGTTCAAGGGCAGATCATCTTTATTTTGCTGTGGCCGCCGCGGAAGCCGTGGAGGTATTGCAATAAGTGGCGCTGGATGGTGCAGCCCGCCACCCTCTTGTCCCGGCCACAGCCCTGCTCCTCTTGCAGCCCCGCCCCCCCAAGCATCCCAAGGGCGACACAGGAGGCAGGCCAGGCAGGCGGGGCCGAGGAGAGCCCCGCAATGCATCCGGATGACTGTCCTATTGAATGGTGGTGAGGAGGCGTCGTCCGGCGGCGGTATTGTTGATACGGATCGCACGGCCGGACAAAACGCGAGAGAGAAATAGAATGGAAGTGACCGTCCCAGGGGAAGGGGGGGGGGGCGGGTATGGGAAGGGAAACGGCGAGGGTTAGGAAAAGGCCTTCGCCTCCTTGACGCCGACGTTTGTCTTGGCTGGTTAGCTCCCGCCCCGCGCGCCCGCCCGGGCCCGGGACGTCCTCGTTGACAAGCAGGTCCTCGCCGTGGGGCAGCAGCAGCAGTGGTAGCAGCAGCAGCACCGCCGGCCGGGACGTGACCACGGCCCTTCTCTAAATGCGGCCAAACGAACGGGCCGGCGCGGGGCGTGGCGAGGCGTGGCGGGGCGGGGCGGGGCGGGTGGCGTCCGCCCCTCAGACCTGACTCGACTCTCTGCCTTTCCGCATCGTCCTTCCAACCCCGCGGGCGGGGCGGCGGCGGCCACATCCGGTAACGAAATTAGAGCTGGGCAGCACCATGAAGTGTGGCGAGACGTATGGCGCGGGGCGTGGCGGGGCGTGGCGGGGCGGGGCGTGGCGTGGCAGGGGCGGCGGGAGCAAAAGAAACTGCGGCAGGAGCGAAAGGTGTATTTAGTGACATGGGGTCGAGTGGGGCTAAAGTTTATTTGCCGTGAGAACGTTATAGTCTTGTTGTGGAAACAAAGGTATGATACACTGACACATAAATGAGAAACGAGGAGAAACAAACAACCGTCTCGCGTCAGGAGCGATCTGACCAGAGGCGCGCGGCGACGTGGCCGGAGTCGACCCGATAGCGCGCAGCCAAGTACAGTTTAGTTTGCTCCAATCTTTCGCGCCTGACCCGACTACAACGTACTGGGCCGCCCCGCCCCGCGCTCTCCATATTCCTGATTGAAACGCAATACCCCCCCATCTACGAGAGAGC